CTCAATTCAGTAGCCCTTACTTCTTTTCCTTTCAATATTTCCCTCGGTTTTCTTGCCCCCCACTTAAAGTCAAGCATGCCCGTCAAAAATGTATTGCCGTCCATATCTTCTCAAGTGTAACGTCTCCAAGCCTCCCCGTTTCTTGTGGCAGTCCTGAATGTCGTCTACATCTCTCGTCCTCTATAAACGCTTCAGTGAAGCAAGAGCAGCAATTGGACCTCATCTCACTCAAAGACTGCGATCTTGAAGTACCTCTCCTGGGTGATGATCTGATGCCCAGTCAATTATGCTCATGAGGGCTGCAGTTGTTTGCTTGAACGCATGCATTTTGAATCACCCCGATAAAGCAAGATCCCGGTAGCTGATTAACCTCAAAACGCTGATATCTCAACTCTAAGTCAGTCAGTGTTTGCAGTTCTAGCCTAGCGGATATAGACCTCACTTACCCATCAGAATAATCGCCACCGCGATGGTATCTCTGTCGGTGGAGCCAGTCACTTTCGGCTGCAGTGCCTTAGTCCGATGATTCAGACACCAGACAGGTGTAGATTTTTGAGGGTTCGGGGCTAGTCGTATGTCCTTGCCCGCCTGAGAGCTTTTCCAGCTTCGATTAGTCAGTTTGATCAGGTCAATCCTCACATCCGGTATTCTTACCGAGTTCTCACGAAATGTCGCGGGCCGAGTTTGTGGCTTCCTTGCATCCACAAGTACCTTTTTCGTAGGCCATGACTGGAGCGACCAACTCCAAATCGCTGTTTCCACAAGATTGTTCTTTCCTCCCAAGAGAGAAACTTCGTATCTCGCTCAACAAATTGAACAAGCCTGTTCTTCTCAATCACAGTCCAGGATATGCTGTTCATCTCGAAATAGGATCAAGAATGGGCAAAATGGAGTACCTACTCTTTCTGCACACCTGGCTGGTTATTTACATATTAACCCTGGGCCTAGCATCTACACCATTGGCTTGCCCTACATCCCTCATATCTAGCCTCATGAGTCTGGAAAATCGCACTTGTATCCGATTAGTGCTACTGTAGAGATATGGTTCAAGCAAATTTGGTAATGAAAGTGTATCCATTATGTGATCAATGGCGCCGTGTTCTGCTGCTGTTCAACGCGGCAACACTGAAATGGAACGAAATCCTACTGGAGGGCCAAGATGTCTCCACAGGTTCACCAGATTGAATCGACACAAGCAATCATCCTGTACTATCTTGATGACGGATCAGATGCCCCGCACAAGCAAAAGAATCGGTTCAAAAATATCAGAATTGCAGTGGATTGGATTCGAGGGTTTGGTTCGTGTAATGTTTGCTGCTATACTAAAAAGAGATGGGTGGTTCGAGATCCACTTCTAGCTCACCCCTCTCATTGGCGGGTCAGGCATCGCCTCTCATTCGTTATAACGGGCATGGGTCGCGCATCCACGAATCTTCGCTTTGCGCCCCATTCGGGACCCAACGAGGATTCACAGCGCCGAGTACAAACAACTCACAGAAGTGGATAGCCAGGCAATCAGAAACTGATTTGCTCTGCAAAATAGGGATCTGTACAGGAACCACTCGCTGAGAGGTAATGAACAAGAGGACGGAAGTGCTGGTGGGAATAATACTGGAGTGCAGCCACTAGCGCGAGTATTACGGCGGCCAGCACCGCCGGTCCATACGCATCCCGCAACATGAAGAGCCCAACAAGAAAAAGGTCTAAGGTATAGACTCCCACGAACAGGTGTTGTAGTGCTTCCCAATAGAGTAAGCCTGCGGTGTCTACGGGGCTTTCCATAACATAAATAACCTGATAGGCATATGTGACCCAAAGAGTTCCGGAAACGAGGGTGCCCACGGGAAGAATAAGAGGTGACGTGATAGAGAATATCATGCCTGTCAATACAGAAAAATCAGTGAATGCCAAGATTGAGCAACTTGCGTTGGCCTTACAAATGCAGAGAAGATTTGTCAGAACAGGATAGATTAAGTTCCAAGTGATCATCGTGCGAGTGGATGTTTTCGGCTTGGTCGTCAACATTTCCCAGAGGCTCCGTGGGAGCTGGAAGAATGCTAAAACACACTGAGTGACAGCCTGCATTAGCAAGTACGAGTAGAAGTAGTCGCAGGCTTTGGGTAGATTTCGAGCCAGTAGAGCGGGTATGGCTTGGATATCTCGTATCATGTCTGGAATCATTGTCGTCAAGCTGGAGGAAATCGAAACCACGAGGAAGACCTGAACGTAGAGGAAGAAGAAGTAGTGTCTCTGAACAAGGACCTGTCGCGACGCATCACTGTAGACACAAAACAACTTTGAAAACCACGATATCATCAGCGGAAAGCCGCACATCAATGCGGCAAGAGCGACCTGTGGCAGGAGCGCTTGAATGAAGCCCAACTGATATTCCGACAGCCGAGCCACGAATGCGCTCAATGACTGCAAGTAGACCACCTGGGACAGTAGCCCGGTCATAGCGATGGGAACTACCCATACCAATGAGCAAGAGATCAGGAACACAGTGGTTAGACAATTTTGAATGATAATTGAGGCTCTGCCCCTGCAGACCCTTGAATCAATTATGGTAGATTGGTCAATGACACGGGTACCCATGGTGGACGGCTTCTGTCCTAGCTGAACTTGCAGACAGAGATGTGCGGCCAACAGAGACGGAAATTGTACAATGGCAATGCTCCGGGAATGCTGCAGTTCAGTCCTCAGGTGTTGCATGCGTCGTTTCACGTGAAATCGGGACATCATCCGTACAAACCGATCCTTTCTTGTTCCTCTGCAGTTCTGCATTGGCTGGTGCACTGCACTGCAGAGAAGCTCATTGTATTCCGCCTCCTTGACCACACGATTGCTCTCCAAGGGAAAACTGACTTCAACATGATTGCAGAACTGAACGAAGATCTGTGTCAGGATTTCTCGGTCCTGGATGTCTGAGGGAATGTTGGTGACAAGGACTGGGGGGATGACTGCTGAGCGTGCCATCCGGCGGAGATACTGCTGCCTTATATTCGTGGTGACATGGAATTCCTTCCACAGGACGTGACAGAAATATAGGTGGAGAAACAGACCCACAGTGGCGATAATCCAGCAACGTGCAATCTGGCCTTGCTGCACATTCGAGATACTCAGCTGGTCAAGTCCTGTTACTGCTGCGTGGCCGGCAGTATAGTAGACCGGCAGCAACGCGGGCAGGACAAAAAGCGATGGCACAGCGAGTATTTTGAACGCTACCTGCAAGAAGCGCAGGACCAAATAACTCTCCAAGCCGTGCTTGATTTGAACAGTATTCGAGTCTTCGGTCACCGTTCGCAGCTTCCTAAGCCAACTGATGCCCCGTGGCAGTGGCTCTATTGCTGGATCATCTATGCAACTCGGCTGGCTGTTTAAATTATTATCAAGGTGTTACTTGAGGGGGATAGCGGTCTTGCACGTACAAAATCGCATAGCTGACATTTTTCAGCCAAGTAAATAAGCCGGTACATGCTATGATTAGACTGCCGTAGAGGCATAGCGAGATCAAAAACGATTGCGCAGAGAGCCCCTGTTCTTTTTGGGCTTTGCCTGCAATCGAATTAAGGGTCTGATTCACGGCGTCGAGATTCATTGCTGAGCGTGAAGATCAGTGGCAGAAGTGCTACATTTAAGAAGGAAAATCAATGGAGCGGTAAGGACGCATTTGTATGCTTTCTCGCTGGTTAGCCGACTAGATATGGAGGGCGCAAAGCGAGCAGTGGCTCCTGGCCAAAAGTGTATGTGCGGTGCCCTCAGATTTCGAGAGCCTCTTAACTGTGTTACTTGAGCAGTCAAATCAACGGGTCTGATACTCAAGCTTGAGGTTGCATGGTAACTGGCACAGGCTGGTCGGACCTTAAATTGGTCTAAAAGTCTTAAAAACATGTTGTTGCTGATCCCGAAATATTCATTGCTCTATCTTGATTCCCCTAGGCGTGGCGAATATGGCCGCGTTTACCTTCCGGGCTTTTTTCACTTTTCTCTTTTTGGTCAATGCATGTTCGGCAATTATCATATATGGAGATATCGAGTGGCATGATGTAGGA